TCCCCAGCAGCGACTAAATACGACCTCCCCCTTACCTCGCTAGGGTTCCCCAATGTACAACGCGACCTGGTTATGATGGATTCGAGCATACTTCAATGCAAAGAAGAAACGTTCCCTATTCCCATAGATTCGGTCAGTCCAATATGTTGCGGTATGAAGATTGACTGAAACTATTCCTTAGCCTTCTCTTTGCTTTAGTGAAGTTATCTTTCTCCAATTGTTATTTTTTGTTGTTGGTTTTTTGTAGATGTTTTGATCTTTTTCTATGGAGACACTGTGTGAATATGAATATAATAAATTCCTTCTTGTTTTTGTTCGTTGGGACTGATTGTCATCTTGGGCGCTACGCTACTATGGACACAAATTGTTACAATTTTTGGGGGCCATGGTTTTCGCAGAGCAGAGGCAGACATGTGCCCACGTCAATCACAATGCTGGTTTCTGGTGAGAGGCAAATTGTACACCCACCTCCGTAGATCCTGGTCCTTGCCGATTGCGAGGTGAATGGCTCCGCAGCTGCAGTAGCATGCCACTTTTCTCACTTAGTGCTCGGGAATAGGGCTGGAGAGTCACCCGGGTATTTTCTCCGTGTTTATCTCGCGTTGACGCTTCGCCTGCCACACGCCTCCTAACCATAGCCAGAGGTGCTACTTTTCTACGCCCTCTTATTTTTGGTTGTTCTCTACACTATGAGGCACTCAAATACTCGCCCTGTTGACTATCTTCTTATGTTGACTTGTTTATGAGTATGTTGCCGCAAGGATCGACAGGGTAGAAAGCGACTCAGTTAATGCATGGTCGCGACAAGGGGCGTAGGTAGTGGCGTTAAAATATGGAAGAGAAGTCGCCTGTGAAAGAAAAATGTATAGGGGATGTCGGCAATACGACCCCCCTCCCCGCCCTCCTAGCAATGAGGAAGTACGATCCCCCTTTACAACGTCCGTGAAGCGAAAAACCAACTATCAAAATAAATTTTTCCCAGCCCTAATACGACCCCCGTTTCCTTGGCGATCACATACGACCCCCTCTATTTGGGAGATTCCCCAACAACGATGTGCCCTGTGCTTTTCACCAATGATGCAGGTTTTTTCAACCTTTCCAGATGGTAAATGCTTCCCGGATGCACTACAGGTGAAGCCACGATGCTCTTTTATAGCTTTGAAAGGTGGGGCGTGGTTCTTTCGAAGCGATATTGAAGGAGAGCCGCAGAGAAAAAAAATGTGTGGTAATTTTTTTAGTGAGCACAGGTCATTAAATAAAAAGAATGGGCACTATGGAAAAAATGCTTGTTATTGAACGATCATCTGTTCGCAGGTGGTATAGACAATACACTCCTTACAATCACGAGTTGTAACTAAATAATTCAACCGAATTACTAGTTTTGTTTCAGCATGTCGCGGTCAGCGTCGCGTATCGTGCTATTCACTGGAATGCAGCAGATCAGGTGCGAGCTAGAATGCATACCCTATTACCCACAGATTGCCCTAACGAAATGTGTTTCCAACTCTAGAAATAATTCGATTTTGGTCAGCGCTTTCTCTCACCCGGTGAGAAGTTTTCCAGAAGAGGGAGGGCCAGTCGGATCGGACGGCTTCGCCGGCCGATCCTCTTCCCGGGTGTGAATGGGTCCCGGTGAGAAGTTTTCCATGAGGAGGAGGGCAGTCGGATCGGACGGCTTCGCCGGCCGATCCTCTTCCGGGTGTGAAGTGGGGGCCCCGGTGAGAAGTTTTTCCAGGAGAGGAGGGCCAGTCGGATCGGCCGGCTTCCGCCAGCCGATCCTCCTTCCGGGTGTGAGTTGGTCCCGGTGAGAAATTTCCATGAGAGGGAGGGCCAGTCGGATCGGCCGACTTCGCGCGATCCTCCTTCGGGTGTGATGGGTCCGGTTGAGAATTTTCATGAAGGGAGGGCGCAGTCGATCGGACGGCTTCCTGGATCGGACGGCTTCCTGGTCCTGGAGTTTTTCGGATAATGTTTTGGGGTTTTTATCCCGGGCACCGTTTACTTCGGCGAACGCCCTGACCATCGCAGGTGTGCTTCATTCATTGCGTCGCCCAACTGTTTGCCTATCGTTTTCCCAATTTCCGCCTTTCGGGATCTTCTAGATTCGAACTACGAATTTTGAAAGTTTTTAGCGAGCACCGCCACATATAGCACGCCCGTCCATCACGCGTGCTGTGACTCCCTCATTTCATCCGCCAACTGACTGTCTTATCGTTTCCCACAATTTCCGCTCTCCGGGAATCTTCTAGAACCGAACTACGAATTTTTGAACTATGTAACTCACAACTGTTGCGCATCCCCGCCCACAGTGGGCGGAGCTTAGCTCAGTTCATGTGTGTTTCCACATCTAGACCCATGCCCTACCCAACCCACCCTTTGACCCCGGCGCCTCCAACTGGTTCCTTCAGGTGATGCCGCATTTCCGGACAGAAGGACAAACAGACAAACAGACAAACAAACAGACGTACAGACGTTGCCGTTTATATATAGTAGTGATAGGTTTCAGTCAATCCAAAGTGTTGCGGTTAGAATATTGACTGGAACTATTCTTTAGCCTTCTCTTTGCTGTTTAGTGAAGTTATCTTTTTTCAACTCGTTATTTCTTGTTGTTGCTCTTATGTAGACGTTTTGCTTTTTCTATGGAGACATTGTGTAGAAATGAATACAATAAAATCCTTCTTGTTTTTGTTCGTTGAGACGAATTGTTAGCTTGGGCGTTGCGCTACTGTGGACACAAATTGTTACTTTTTTTAGGGGCCATGGTTTTCGCACAGCAGAATCAGTATGAGCCCACATCTCCAGTCACAAAGCTAGTTTTTGTTTGAAGAGAAACTGTAAACTAACCTCGGTGGGCCCTGGTCCTTGGCGTATGCGAGGTGAATGGGTCCGCAGCTGCAGTATCCTCCCAGTTTCTCTACATACTCACAAGTGCACAGAAGCGGGGCTGGAGGGTCAGCCGGGTTGCATTTCCCTATTCCGCTTGTGTTGATGCTTCACCTGCCACAGGTCTCGTAACCATAGCCAGAAGTGCTACTTTTCTGCGCCCTCTCACTTTTTGTTGTTCTCAGTACTATAAGTGGTAAATCACTCGTCCTCTTGACTATTACCTCATGTTGACTCACTATATGTTGCCATAGGAGGATAAGATCTGCAGGGTGAAAACTGACTCATTTAAGGCACGGTCGTGATAAGGACCGCGGTGGTGTTGAATTTTGGAAAAGAAGTTGTCATGTGACTCGTCTGTGAGAGGGAATGCTATAGGGAATGCTGGCAACGATTTTAATGGAATCATTGCAGCCTCAAGCAATTGCACCGGTAAAAGGCCAAAAAGCGCGTGTTGAGGCGAGTCCAGCCAGTGGTTTTGCTGCTTGTCCGGTAGTATCGCTCTTGACTGGAAAGCGTAGTCTGGAGGCCCGAGGTTTCCATTGCGAATCATAATACCCTTCCAAAACAATCTTTTGCATTTTCGTGTGTTAGGAACGTTCCTTTGACCTAGATACTCGAGTTTTCATGTATTGCAACAACATTACATTGTACATAATTTTTAATTCATTAGAGAAGAATTATCGAGATCAATGAGTGTACAATGGAATGCCTGTCGAATGACCAGATATCGAAGCAGTTACATCCAATAGGTGGTTAATTTGAACAAAATACAAAAAAAAACTGTTGGAAAACCTGTTCCTAGCACTAACCGCATATATACCGCATTTATATAAAGCTTCTGTAGTGATGTTATACAATTCAAATTGCACATGAAATAATATGATTATCACTCGATTACTGTGCAATATTGACACAATTTCAAAACTAATAAGCCGTAGTAATCGACCGAAGGAATTCGAGCGCTTCTTTATCTTCTTTTCTACTTGCCAAGACATCAATTATTTCTTTATCTGAGGAAATGCTTTGTTGGATTAAAGCCAAACACAATTTTTCAAAGAAAAATCAAGAAAAAACATTAAACTATAAGACCTACTGTTTTGAACAGGTTGTATAAGCATGAGATTAAATTGTCGAAGTGTATTGCCGCCAGCCACTCCGAAGCCAGGGACCTGTAATATAACTTGTCTCAATGTATTTTCAAGAGGTGTAGATTACGATTGGATTCTCTTAACTATTTTCATTAAGAGATATTTTTTGAGGGTAAACAGCATTTTGGTTTTGTGATTTGCTGGCCCTATCGTTGATTCACCAGTCCTAAAGACACATTTCGCGTTTGCAAACCACGCAGGGTCCCAGTGGAGAGCTCTAGGTTCTAATTCACTTCACCGGAAGAAAAACTCATGAAATCCAAAAAGAAAGTATCTGCGTTATGGGCCACAGTCAGACCCCAGACGAGACTCGAATCCCCATCTTATGCTCACCGGGCGACTGCCTACGCTACCGGAAGCTCTTACCCTCTCAGCTCAATGGCTTTTTGATAGCTTAAAAAAGAAACGATTTCCAAAATCGAGCAAACATGAAGCTTGCATTCCTCCCCCCCCCCCCTAGAAAACAGTCATCAAAATTTTCTATGCTGCACTCGCCTTAGTGATGAGGAATCGAAGAATAACCTATTGCCGACGGTACCAACCATTTGGTATACTCCCTACGGTTATCCCTCACTAAATTCATCTGCCAAACCATTGCTCAATTTCACTTCAATCCTCATTTCGTGGGGTTTTGCGGGTGCTTTTTGAGGGTTTTTGTCCCCGGCACCGTTCACCTCGGCGAACGCCGCGTCCATCAGGGCTGTGCTTCATCGACTTCGTCCGCCAACTGATTGCCTATTGTTTGCTACTTCTCTCACTCCCTGAGCTCTTTTAGAACCGAACTACGAATTTTTAAAATTTTTGTACCAAGCACCGCCCACCTACAGAACGCCCCGCCCAGAATGGGTTTGCCTCGCTAATTTCGTCCGCTAACTGATTGCCTATCTGGCACTTTTCCCGCTCTCGGGGCTCCTTTGGAACCGAACTACGAATTTTTAAAAAATGTAGCTCACTAATGTGCGCACACCCCGCCCACAGTGGGCGGGGCTTAGCTTAGTTTGTGCGTTTTCCGTACATCTTGGCCCATGCCCTACCCAACCCACCTTTGACCCGCCCCCTCCAACTGGCTCTTCAGATTCCGAATTTCCGGACAGACAGACAGACAAACAGACAAACAAACACACATTGCCGTTTATATATAGTAGTGATAGATGGCTCATAATCACAATAAAGTGTCTTACATCAGCCAGCTCCAGAAATGCTTCTCCAGCGAAATCGTTCGATTGCAAGTAGTCGTGATCCATAACGGTGAAGTGAAGCATAGCGCATGGCTTTGGCGGAATGTGGCTGGAAATAATAAATATTAGATATTCAATATGGAAATGTTTCGTATCCCAAAAATTCCGCACTATGGCCAGATCGTGCTCCTGAAATATTAACGAGTTTTCAATCGGAATCCCTGACGTGCTCAAAAACTACGGGCTGCTTCTGCTACGTGCGTATTACTTCAGTATTAAACCTACCAATGGAGCATTTAGAGTTTGCGATGGCGCCTATTGATACGCTACCACGCGCTACCATTATAACCGTGCTCCAGTGCTATAGATGGGAACACAGCCATAGACACGTATCGATCGGTGCCAACCGATATTGTTTTGAGAGAGCGTGGGTGAATAAGAGGGTACTAGATAGTGTGGTTAGGCAAGTAGCGGCCGGCTCCGAGTGGTACACGTCTATTGCTGTCTACCTTCCTTAGCATTAGCGCGCGGTTGCAATGACAGCGCGTCACAGCGCGTAGACGCGCGTCATCGTGAAGTCCGAACGCTGCCTCTCATATGGGTTGCAAGATATCAGCCAGACCAGAGCATGTCCGTGTTGAGATACATTGAAGCAAAGATGAATGTCAAGATGAGTGTGGGAACTGCTTGTAAAGTGCGAAGTTGAAAAAAATTAGCCAGATTATTCATCAGTATGCCTGAGGAAGCTCGTCAGTGTTGAAGCGGTCATACTGTCTCTGCTCTCAGAAACCACGCCTCTATTGCAATCCCGTCCACAGCTATTGACAGACAGGGATGGCAAACTTAACTCCGCACAATACCAGTAAATATATAAATTAAAAAAAGCTGCGCAATATTTTTTACATTTTTCAGAAGTAAACTAGATGATCTGAGGAACAGCTTGCACCAAACTCGAGAAGGTATGTGTGACCAAGCCGTCGAAAGCCACTACAGTCGAGCGGAGTACAAAGGTATTTGAAGCCTATACAATGCTCTGGTTTGACGTTTTTTTCATCGCCCCTGCATACAGCTGATGTCGTCGAAGCCCGACGGGGTGGTGTCAGGAGGCGTGGAATTGGCCCGTATGCGGCTACTTTTTCTAACAATAGTGGCGGGTCGAGGAAGAAAAGAACCAGTCACAGAAAAGGTCATGGCCGAGCCCATTCACGCCTTCTGACCGCGTCCCGCCAAATTGCGACGATATCAGCTTAACCTTCCGAGATGTTAGACAGGACTTCTAGCGGTGCAGAGAATATTTATATCAGCACGTATATAGGGAAACTTTCATAATTTTTGAGAACTTGATCGATAATGGGGCAGTGGTTAATCTAGTGACTGGAGAAATGGGCGGAGGCTCATAACATTGTGCTCTCTTTGTTTGTGTTCACATGCTCTCAGTCTGGGCACGGATGCTTCAATGATAAATGGTATGACTGATATCATCGGCAACCAGTCAGGACGGTGAAGGCTGAGGTGAGCCGCCTCCAGCCGAGTTTTCCACCAACAGTGAGCTCGAAGTGATCGATTCAGGACGAAAACAAGCAGTGGTAAGGCTCCCCTCTTGAAACCATCCCGACTTCTCGTTATGAACTTACTGGTTGTAGTTCCCCGTCAATCTCGGTCCCTTCAATTATTGCGACTGTGCAATATTGCACACAGGTACAGTGTAGACACAAAAATATAAACCGTAGTAACCCACAATTCAAACGTCTCCTCGAAAATCGGGTTCATAGTTTTGCTGGCGATTCGCGTCTTACTGACGACTTGAGTTGGATAGCGATATTTTGGAACAAGTCGTATAACCACAAATAGATCCGAGAGTCCATTAGCATCCAATGGGATCACCTGCTTAGCACCGATCACTGAATTTACGAACAATTTCTTCCTAATAAATGGTAATAAACAGTTTAATTGCATACCATCCAATACAAGCGTCTGTGAATTTGCATTATAGTAGGCCCGCACATATAATATACCGTATTTGCACTCGCTTACTTCGTTCTAAAATAATAGTATCATCAATCTGTGATGAATAAGGTTTTGTTCTAATTCATTTTCGCACACTACATATAGCCACGGCGGGGAATGTGCACTCTACTGCAGTTTAGCCACAGTCTCGTTCGCTGCGCATGAAGAGGCGTGGTCAGGCGGAATGTTTTGACGCGGCGTCAATCCGTTCTTCACCAGTCGTTGAAGCAGGTAACCGGAAGCAATTGGTGTGATACGAACGATATGAAAAATTCTTGCCGCTTGTTAGCTTCATCAATTGGTGGAAAACTGGCTTGGCGTCGCGCTAAAGACATACCGGCAGAGCACACCCCTTCATCCATGGCGAACACGACTGCACATTGTTCGCGCACGCCATCTTGGACTTATAAACTTCTGAAGAAATGGTCGAGATGACCGAATATTGTCATCATCATCATGCCAAAGGTCCAGGTACATGGGGAAAATAAATGCATTTGCTAAGGGGATATATCAAGCAAAGAATGACAAATTTAGGGTTGGGGCAGGAGCACTGAATAGCATTCCGAAGGATAGACAGGGTATTTTATCCCTAACTGTTATAGCCGTGATCTGTTCAGAAAAGCACTCTTCGTTTACGGTGTAAGCCGCGCCGGACGGCGCGGCACTTTGTTTTGGTATGACTCACGTTAGCTTTCAGGGCGTGGCGAGACTACAGCTGGACGAGGCGAGGAGTCGATAATCTGCCAGGTCCGGAGCCTGCAGCCCGTTCCTGCCAGCTCTCCTGAGGGCGATGCCCCGGTTACCAAGAACATCCGATCTCTATTGGTGCTTCTGTCTGTTATGTACCGTAACCTCGTACAGTTTCCCATGCCTTTTGTAACTCCTTTTGTTGCCTATTATCTATGTTGTTTCCCTTATCTTCCTTCATGTCTTAAAAGATAAACTTTATCAATCAAGCACCTAGAGTATCACAGAAGTAGGTGATTAGCACCTCCCTGCGGGCGCTAGCTGACTGGTAGCAGCGAGTGGTTCACCCCTCGCTAAGGTAAGTGTAGATCAGGTAAGTTTTCTTTGTGCCTAGTTTGGTTGCGCCGGTGTGAGACGGCCGCTCGCACCCGGACTGCAGCCAGCTAATCAGCCCTTGGAGAACTTCGCCCTCTCGGTCGTCTGACATGGATTACCGTATTTTGTGAAAGCCCCTGGTTAGGGGAAGCCTTTCTTTCTCTTTGCTCTTGCATTTTTCGGTTTGTACTGTACGCTAACCCTTGTCCATTAGTTTTTTTTCAGATGGAGCTCTACCCGTGACGTGGGTATAAACAGTCAAGCGCTTTTGGAAATGCCGAGCTCGAGGATCGTAGGAGAAGAAGTATTTTGAAGCAGTTCGTCCCATGTTCAGGAGTTTTGTAACCGCTGAGTTAATGATTGGTGCACCAGAGATGTGATGGGAGTTGTCGAGGCCGCCGCAGTCGTCGAGGATATGAAGGGACGTTAAATCTTTTCGTGAAAGCGGCCTGTTGTGATCCACCGGTGGGAAAATGGGAGAATTCTGGTAGGTATCCGCGGATGTATATAAATCGCTTGAGCTCCAGTTTCCCGGGAAATAAGTCGAAAAGTTAAAGAAAGGTAAAAAAAAGTGAAAAACCGTCGCTAGACGGGCCAAAAAAACTTGTCTTCATTGCTCTGTAATCACTCCTTTTTTATTGAGGTCCGATGGGCCTGCTAACAAGAACAGTTATCTATGGCCGTTGAGTCCTGTGAGCTACGCTCTCTTCAAAGCCAAAACCCCGTTGATTATGATCATGGAAGCCCCCCCGTTCCCCTTTTTTGCAGGAAACTTGGAGGGCCCCCCAGCGGTCCATTAACTGGAAAGCTGGAGGGAGATTAGTGACCTTAAGGGCCTGCCAGACCGACTCAGGACACGGCCGCTTTACCAGCGTCGGGTTGACCAAATAATAACGGCAGAGCGCCGTTGATCGCTGTATATGCCTGCAATAGAGTAGCTGACGTGTCTTAACAGGTTTTTACCCCGTTCCTTTTCTAAACAGGACGGACCTTTTGGTCCATGTTTGAAACATATGTCTGGCGTAGACTATCTTGCCGGCATGTCTTTATGCCTTTTGAGTTTCTGCGAGCGAGTCTCGTCAACACTTATCAGCTCAATTAAGGGAGAACAGAAGAACGTCACTCGGAATTCGAGTGCGCCCCTCTGGCAGTCGGCAGACTGTTTCAACCGATTCAAGTATCCTGCCAGCGGATTATTATCGCGGCAGGTAAGTCTTCATCGAACGAACATCTTTTTTTGTTGTTTTGCTTTTCTTCTTGATGCTGATCTGGATTGAATGGAAGGCATTGGGTAGGCTTCCTTGATTCCTGATATTGCCCTCAGAGGAACTTGTCGATGGCGTATCTTCGCTATGGGCAACAGCTCGATGACCTAGGTCTTCCAGCTTCTCTTCTTTTTTGACAGAATTGTTTTTTTGAGTGAAGGTCCATTCGGTGAAATCGGCGTGACATTCGAAGGCAACTTGCGCTGTTCTTGTCCCAGCACTTGATCTTCCTTCTGTGGTTCAAATTCAAATTTTGCGCTCTTCATCTGGCCTCGCGTAGCATGCTCTCTCTCTCATGCTTCTTTGTGCAATTTTGCTCGGTAACACGTTCAAATCGCAACAATTAGCGCAAACAGTTTTCCCAGGCATTCATTCAGCAGCTTCTTTGTGCTCCATCTCCGTTGAACAACAACATCGGCGATCAAAGACGTGACAGCTAGCAAGCAGGAAAACTTCGAAACATTCCTTTCTTCCGTTCACAAGGATAAACAACTTGTCAATCGGAGATTTCCCATGCTCGGCGGCTGCATGTTAGCATTCGCCGATGGGAACTTGCGGGGAAAGCGGATTACGGTACCGCGCCTCCTCATTGGAAGGCCCCGCCCACCGATCGCGGATGCAGGTAATCATTAGCATCGAACTTCGAGTTCTTGGGTGCTACGCTCGTCTGATCCAGCTCTCGTCCATCGTCTCCTGGTATTCAAATGGCTCCTGTGACACGGTCGCGGACCCATTCTGTTGATTCTTCTAGGGCGGGTGCCCTGTCTTCAAGAACAACTATGGAGGTGTCCGCTGCAGATAACCTCGCTAACGTCCTATCAGACATGGATGATAGGGCTACGATCCATGCGAGGGAGGCGAGGACACTTCGTGATGCCACCGTACTCGCCATAGCGGAGGTGCGAAGAGACTCAGTGGCAGAAACAACGCGACTGACGCATATGATCAATGAAGGTAATACTAATTTACTTACTGATTTGAATACTTCTTTTGCCGCAGTGGGTGAGCATATTGATTCTCTGCCCATTGTTGCATCGGTAAGCCCGGATGGGCCGTTACCAAGAATAGTACCATTCTGTGGATCAGGTGAGGATCCCATGCAATTCTCCTTGTGGCTTCGCCGCCTTGAGGATGTCATGCGGATGCGCTGCACTTCGTGGACGCCACAGCAAAGAGCGTACTTTCTTACAGGGTACGTTGATGGAGTAGCACGAGAGAAGGTGGAGGAACTTTCGAACGAAGAGCCGCGAAGACGATATCTATGGCATGATTTTATCCCTCACATTCCGCTACAACCGCATCCTCAACGCGCGAGCCGTTTTTGAGGGCTGCCCAGACGCGGTTACAATTACGCCGTTCGTCTGTTCCTTTTCTCTGGACGACCTCTCACAGTATGAGATCGTCGCGGCGCGCGCTCGCAAAAATGTCTCCTCTGCGATGCGCTTCTCAGAGCCCCCTGCGTCGCTGCATGCTCGCGAGCAGCTAGCAGACATCGTGCGCTGCTTTCTCCCCATGCACCCTGAGGAGGGAATTCTCCCTCTGATGGTGTCAAAAATTTCTCGAGCAGAGAGAGATTGGCTTCAGGACCGACTCGGTTCATTTAATAATTTTTTCAGGGATCCGGTTGGATCGAAGCAAAGGTTAGCGAAGATCTGCAACACCGCCTGTTCGGCGCTTGCTGCGGTCAACGCGGCAGGGGATGATCGACGCACGCACTGGGTGCCCGGCACAGTAGTGACCCCCCTATGGTACCCTCTTCGCCTGAAATTGTCTCTCACAGAGATGGCGAGCGAAGTCGGATGGGCCCCTGGACGACATGTCGTCCTCTGGATACCGCGTTCAGACGGCCATCTGTGGACGAAGGTCACATCGGTGACAGCCGTTTCCCAGGAGAAGCTGCTCATAATAGTCATAGAAGCGTTCCGCTGGTCACACAACTCGCTCACTAGCTTAATCAGGAGATTCGGCCGCAACAGCGAAGACGGACGCGTCATCGACCTTTGCGTGCGGCTAAGCAAATCCACCATCGCAGCTAATCCCATCTACGACGTGGTGTCACGCACTCGCATCTTTGAGGGCCTCGTTCGATCTTCCATCGGCGACCAGATCGTAAACACCCTACCTCCACAACCTCCCACCATCCTCGGAGGCCCCCCTGTTCTTCAGGGTAGCGAGCGTAGGATAACGCTCACCCCGACCAAAGAGACGCCGTCCGCGTCGGCACCGCGCAAATACCTCTCGTGGCAATACAGGCCGCGTTTGGTACCGGTAAGACCCTCGTGGGGACCATAATAGCGGCCCTCATTTCGACTAAGACCAAGTCCACCGTAATCGTGACCACGTCGACCAACGCGGCGGTAGCGCAATTCACGGAGACGCTGCTCTCCTTGCGCGACTTTCCGCACATGCAAGTGGTCCGCCACATCTCCGACACTGCGGCCGTGGAGAACCTCTGCCCAACAGCGGTCGGCCTGGGCAAGGTCTTGCAAAGGATACCTGACGCTTACCACGACCGCCTCCCGCCAACAGAGCTACAAGCCTGCCGTAAATTCACGCGCTGCCGACAGCTACTCGAAGAATACTCGCGCAGCCGGCGCGGGTCACCGATATGTCGGACGACGACAAAGAAGAGTACGAGATAGCTGAGCTCTACGTCTCTCGTACCCTCAAACGTATGGTGCGCTTACTGTTCCACCTGAACCGTCCGGCGGTTATCTGCATGACCACCTCGTCCCTGCTCAATTCGACGGGTAGCGGTGGAATTTTCGCCCCCTACGTCGCTTCCTTCCGAGCCGTGATTGGAGACGAAGCGTCTCAAATCCCGGAGCCCGCCCTCCTTACAATAGCAGGTCGTCTACAGCACGCTCGCCATATATACATTGGCGACGTCCACCAGCTGGCCCCCCACGTGAAGTGCCCTCCCACCTCTAATCCGGCACTTCATGGCGCGCGTAGTGTCATGTCGCTCTTAGTGCACGCACCAGCTGTACCGGTGGCTCCCCTGGATCACAACCTTCAGGTCCCACCCTGCACTAATTGCATTACCCAATACCATTGCATACGACGGCGCCTTGGTCAGTGGGACGCCCGCGAATACACGGCGCATGCTGCTTAATGTGATGGAGTTCCCTGCTAGCGGCATCCCTTTCATGTTCGTGGACGTCAAGGGGAAATCCACTCGGGCGCAGAGCAAATCGCTCTCCAACGACATGGAAGCTAGGATCTGTAACCAGTTCATCACTCGTCTGATGCACCGAGGGATTGCTCCTCGCAACATCTGTGTCACCACCTTTTATAGGGAACAGTATCGGTTGATGAGGGACGACACGGACCACTACGGTGTCGAACTAACCACTGTGGGCTCTGTACAAGGACGCGAAAAAGAGGTTGTTATGTTGCTCACCACTAAAACTGATTTAGATCCCGACGCAGCGGAGTTCATCGACGATTATCGGCGGCTTGACGTAGCAATATCTCGCTGTCGGCATGGGCAGTTCATCTTCGGAAATGCGGAGTCGCTACGGCAAGTTCCCAAGTGGGCACGGCTCTTGCAGTGGGCCGATTCCATCGGAGCGGTAGTCCCTTCTAGCCACCTTGACCGCTATCTTAGATTGTGAACTTTATTCGAATATGGTAAGTGCTTATCTCCGATCTCGCCACCTCGGACACTTTCAAAGTCCGGGACGGACTTCGGGTAAAGGGGGGAGGTGTAAGCCGCGCCGGACGGCGCGGCACTTTGTTTTGGTATGACTCACGTTAGCTTTCAGGGCGTGGCGAGACTACAGCTGGACGAGGCGAGGAGTCGACCATCTGCCAGGTCCGGAGCCTGCAGCCGTTCCTGCCAGCTCTCCTGAGGGCGATGCCCCGGTTACCAAGAACATCCGATCTCTATTGGTGCTTCTGTCTGTTATGTACCGTAACCTCGTACAGTTTCCCATGCCTTTTGTAACTCCTTTTGTTGCCTATTATCTATGTTGTTTCCCTTATCTTCCTTCATGTCTTAAAAGATAAACTTTATTAATCAAGCACCTAGAGTATCACAGAAGTAGGTGATTAGCACCTCCCTGCGGGCGCTAGCTGACAACGGATAATACTACGGTTACATTACTTCGAAAAGAATGGATGTGGCTGAGCTTCATACTTGCGACAACAGTCAGCATGGAAGAAAAGGGAGCTAAGCAGGCTTTGGTATGGCTCACAATAAAGCATTTCCGCATCGAATTAATAAGGTTTTAGGCAGAGTTCCCACATGTAACTCTGTTTCTCCATTTGAAGCAGGCTGTAAGGCTGCATTCATCTTTGCGGCAGCGTCCACCAGCTACCAGGAATAGAAATTATAGGGACGTAGGAGGGTAGCTGATGGTAGAGTATGGGGAAATAGTAGGGAGGAGACAACTGGATTAGGCGTCGTGATGTGGCGTGTGCAATCGCATCGTACATAGCACCATACTCCTGGACGCTGATAGTCGCTGGCGGACCATGATAGACGCTGGCAGACGCTGCCGTTTACTAGATCAATATCTATACTTTCCTAGTCACAGAAGCTGACGCACGCTCGAAACGCTGATGATCGCTGGTGGACGCTGCCGTAAAGTATGAACGCAGCCTAAATCACCTCTGTGGAGTTTGATCCATACCGTGATTGGGGAGAGTGGGCCGCAGCTGCATAAGGTGCCACTGTCTCCGGTTAGAAGGCATGGGAATGGGGCAAAAGGGCAGTGATACCTAAATGCCGTCTCCATAATCTGCCCACGCTGCCGCACGGCCAGCCGCTACACGTCACATACTATCTCCCGACACCAACATGCACGCGCTATGCCACGGTCTGCCACACGCCTAGTCATAGCCAAACGAGCTGCTCGTCTGCGCCCTCTCACATCTGGTTGTTCTCTACAGCTGAGTGCCTGCTTCGCTGCCTGATAGCGGGACCGACGCAGTGCTGCACATTGAGGATAGCGCGGGTGGAGTATGCAGACGGCGCCCGGATATCGTTACACAGCATCCTCGCTTCCATATACTCATGATCGAAGATAGTAGCCCGTTACTGCAGCTGTGGACCAATTCACCACGCACCTGCCAAAGATTGTCCTCTCATATAGCGCAAACAAACTAAAAATAGCGTACTAGAGTTCATAGAAGTCACTTTTACTGACCATATCGTCTTCATATGCACAGAAGGGCAGGTGAATTACGTATTTCATAAGAATGGGCAACTAAGGCAACCTCAGCTGGCCGTTTTGTGGCTATCTATGGCAGTGCACTACTCCCGCATCATCGGTTGTCAAAAAGGAAAAAGGAACCCTTGCTATGAGGAATTTCAAACAAAAAAATACCTACTCGCCCTCAATCAAGGATGCGAAAATGGAGTTAGTTTCTAAGTATTGCGTGCGCTTTGGGACAGACTAGGCTACGCGAACAGTCCTAGCTGGTTGTCTCGAAAATAATCCAAACCTGAAGGCAAAAGGAGCGTCCTAAAGCTCCAAGGCTGCGCGGCGAAGGCTGCGAGAGTTAGGCAAAAGAGGCACAAGAGAGGAAAGTCGACACGAGGAACCGCAGGCGTCGCCGCGTCGACAACCAGCTAGGACTGTTCGCCAGTTTCTTCTGCCCTCCCATATTGCCCATCCGCCCCAGCATCTGCAACTAAAACTACTGCATCAATTTGCGCTTTGACATAACCAAAAGGACACAAATACGATATTAAACTAGCCATAAGATCTCCGAAGCCATTCCCATACTCGTCCCATGTACGATTGTGAAAGTGAACCTTAGGCAGCGTTCATAGTTCGCGACAGCAGCGGCGATCGCCGTGATCGCCAGCGATCGCCGCGATCGCCGGCGATCGCGGCGATCGTCGGTGCATGGCAGCGCGCGCCCCAACGCTATTGTGAATGCTCGCCTGATGAATAAGGGAATTCAACTTGTAAGACCTTCTTTACTCTTAATAAGGGCTACTAACAGACAAACTACGTTACCTTCACACATAAGGCAGATCTGGAAATAGAGGTAAGAAGGTTTCACTTCCTTTTAGGTCGAGGTAAGACCAACTCCATTTCCTGGGTAACTTCTTTTTTTTTGTTTTTATTGTTTCAATTTATGCATGCGCCTCAGGAATTCCTATCATCTAAGCTGTTCCAACTTCCAAAACATTCATAGTTTACAAGTCGAGTTTAACAACAACAGAAGAAAAAAACGAAATAGAAGAGAACTCTCCTAGGAACCAAAGCCACTAATCATTTTACGCGACATCGAGAGGTGTGAAAACTTCATGAACCTCATGTCAACCTCGACGAATGAAAAAGAAGCAATAAAACGTACCTCAAGTGAAGCTCTCGCGTTTTTGCTAAATTTCTATCCTAAATAATAAAGAAAATAGAAAAACAAAAGCGATTAGCTGGGCTCGCCTTCCTCTGTCAAACCAAGCTTCAGTACCTAAGGAAATCGCAGTCAAAGGAAAAAGCATGAAATTGAGCCGCTAACCCCCAGAAGCCTTCGGAGCGCAAGTAATAGCGTTGGGGCGCGCGCTGCCATGCACCGACGATCGCCGCGATCGCCGCTGCTGTCGCGAACTATGAACGCTGCCTTACTGCTTACACGTCTAAATGAGAACAAATGTAAGACACAAAAAAATAGCTGATCACAAGATAATCAATGTTAAGGAATTATTACCTCTGAATAACCGTCCAACTGCCACCAGCCGTCTCTTGCTCGCAGAAAACTGGAAATGGTACTGCACCACTTGGTGAAATCAGATAAATCCCTGATCGTTTTCCGGAATCCAAATGTTCTGAGCAATCCTGGAACAAGCATACCAGTACAGATACGAGAGGAAACGTTCAGTATAAGTAAGCAGGTTGCCCGCTCACATTTTCCATGTCCTCTGAAATGAGAACAAGCGGCACATTTGTAGTGATTTTTTTTCTGAAATATAAAGATGAACTGCTACTCCTAACATGTTCCCACAAACACTTATGATAAAGAAAATCAAGTTTTCCAAGGAAAATCGAAAGAAAATGGTTCCAAGAAGTAATCCAGAGTAGGAGAACACGGTAATAAGATATTATTTGTGGCTTGTGCAACATAATATTTTTTCGGCCGGGAAGTGTACAGAGTTCTCCTGTCTTCCATCCAATGATAAGCTTCGGCCGTTCATTTCCAGACGCTGGCATCGTGCGCAAAAAAAAAACAAAGTGTATCCCCGATTTGACACGACGAAGCGTTGCCATGTTGAATCACATTGGTCCTGGCGCGAATACCAGGCATGTGACACCATTTGCAAAAGTTGCAACTCCTATATCGCAGCTGCCCCGCACAACTGGGATCTGTTGAACAACACCCGGGTGATGGTAACGAAATGTTGGAATGTTCGAATCGAATGCAAAACATGCCCGTGAAATATACCCCAAGTCCCCCAGGTTTTACAAGTGATGACGAACGATGATTCCGAACTCGCACAAAATACACAGGGCAGCGTTCAGACTTCCTGATAGAGCGTCGACGCGCTATCACTGCGATAGCGCTCCGATGCCATATAATGGTAACGCAGCCATAGGCGGTTATCGATCGGCAACGGCCCCTTCAGTTTTGAGAGAATTCAGGAGTACAGAATGGTACGCGCTGCTTAACCTCACAGTCTGGTACCCTCCTATTCTTCTATACTTTTCCAGAACAGTGAGGGATGACGCCGATCGATACTCAAATAAGACCGCCCCGTTCATGGTAAGGGAGCGCTGTTGCTCTACCGAGGCCTTGACGCACGTCATTATGAAGTCTGAACGCTACCCGGAACCAGATCCGAGCAATAACAGAAGTAAAGCTCTACCTGAAAACTCTGAATGGAATGTGTTACCTGTACTTCCCCCGAGTTATCCCGTGATGTCGTTGCAAGTGTAGCTGTCGCTGCTGTCAGCATGCCGGCACTTTCCGTTGCGCGCGGAGTTTCTTCGGAACATGAAGTTTCTGCAGTAAAATGTATCTTGAGCCGAGGTCGAACTTTTACCGAACTCACTGATAAAGTTTAGTAGTAAGGCCGTGTTACTACTCTACGAAAGCGCATATGCGCGATTTCGGTGAATCAGTGAAAAGAGGTTACATGGGAATCGATTCCTTCCGCCAACCAGAAATCGCGGTTCGCTTGAATCGGTGACAGACTGATTACTGATACTGTTACTGATAACGTTCGGTTGCCTATGAGTCGGGCACAGGGCACAGCATTCGATGGGGATTTTGGTCGAGCTTTTACGACCCCCCCCTTTTTTTTCAGGGGCTGGTACGACCCCCCCCCTCCCCACAAGGACCAAATTACGACCCCCCCTCCAAAACGTCCGCAAGGAGGGAAAAATCAACTATAAAAATAAATTTTTCCCAGCCCAAATACGACCCCCCCTTTTGACGGCCAAATACGACCCCCCCATAGGGAATCCCCAACCAATGCTGTGCCCTGGTCGGGCAAACTAAATATCTACATGTACTACGAGAGAGCTACGCAGCCGTAGGAATGAAATACTGCGACGCAACTTTACACCACTTTTACACCACTACGTACCGTACTCCTCAGCTCACGCCTAATTTTAATAATGTGCGGGTGCTTTTCCTTTTCCTGTACCTCAATTTGCTCTGTTTTCGCTCTTTTCTCGCACCATGTTGAATTTCGTAACGAAATGAATGAACACAAGCCACAGAATAAGATTTAAGTATACAAAATAATCATAGCACAACGAGGAATGAAAAAGGCGAACAAAGAAAATGGAAACGGGAAAATGTAGGGACGTTTACTAAAGTAAGGTACTGATATGAGCGACTCATAAGGGAAGCTCTCAGGTCGAGGAAGCCATTCGACGTGACAACTACACCATCAGATATATTTTACAGCTGATCAGTACTACCCTACTGAAGACTGAGCAAGTCAAAGTCACATCATAGAAACATTCCTTGCCTAATGACTGCCATTTTCGTGTTTCAAGGCTTCGAACTACTTCTGAAAGCATGCTTCCAGTCAATTCTGAATTTTGTCCAGGCTTCGAAAAATTGGTTATGTTTATGAGTTGGTGTGAGGCTGGGTGGTGGACTCAAGGATTTCCTAGCAATGAGACTTAATCTTTGGACAGAATCAGCTTTTCTGCCGCGTTTCCGACTTCGTTTTCGCAGAAAAAGAAAAGCTTATGAGGTTGCAATAAATTTTATAAGCTTTTTTACACTGAAAAGGTGTGACATTCTGTGTCGAGGTGTCACACTCCCTTTGGAGACAAAATTCTCATCATAATCTAAGAGCTTAACTTCATTTAAAAATTACGTGTTCACTGTTTGGCCGTTATTGCTCCGGCAATAACAGCCAAACTGTGGACTCTTCCCCTTCTGATCCTGAATGGCAATTTGATTCTAATAATTAGAAAATGATGTAGATGCCAACACGCGAGGAAGACATCGCTCTCAAAAGGACGCACTTCTGAAAGTTTTTCCGGTTCCAAGAGTGCTCGATGACGAGCCTGCTCGAAGACCCAAGAGACCGTTGCCCATCTATGATGACACTTTGTGGATATCTGCCAAACTCACAGAGTTTAGTGGAAATTTGTATTGTCTTCGCCTGAACACGAATATCATGTGCGTTTAATGCAGGAATGCCTGAAGCGCGCACCGCTGTGCCCTAGCCTTCATTCAAGTGGTGGTCATCATAATTGCCCTTGTTGATGAAAGTGATATTCTACACAGAATGCTTGCGGCAGTCTTCCTATCCTTGGATTACCCATACCACGTGGATCTGACCGCCTACGTCTTTCACCTCAAAAAACAACTGATAAAACTCCTCACATTATGTTCGGCAAGTCATCTCCGCAAACTTCGCGAGCAAAATTGAGTTTAGCGTCTCAATGCGAGTACATTTATGTATAATTTATTGCAAAGGACTAGCTGACCTTTCCTAGTCAATCATAAAACACTCGAAAATTATTGAAATTAGGCGTGAGCCTGAGGAGTACGGTACGCAAAGTGGTGTAAAAGTGGTGTAAACTTGCGTCGCAGCATTTCATATCCTACGGTGGCGTAGCTCTCTTTCATGTAACGCTGTTTGAAACGAGTGTGTTACCGGAAGCATCAGACGCATTTTCATAGGACGACACACTGGTTCCGCGAATAGTTACTGGTGGTGCAGTACTGGTACTGGCTATACCACTGGCCGTTACACCGCTTGTAATTACAGATGGTTTAATTTGGTCCTAAAATAACAGTAGCAAAAAGTGGAGGCCCCGTCATTAACACTAGAAAAAAAATAAAAAGTATTTAATAGTAGTAGAAAAGAACGAATACAAATAACACATGCCTTGATGTAGTTTCTCTGGAATGCCTTTGAGGTTCCCTTTGATTATGGAACGTAGGAATCCGCTTTGGTTCAACGTAGTATGGCCTGTGGCTAGGATATACATCGGGCCGCCCTTTCGATTAACTCTTCTTCCTGCAAAAAAAGGAGTGGAACAGGAGCCCATGCTAGTGCAAGAACGGGCTGCAGTCAGTGAGGGTGAGTCGCTCACAAGCGTTTTTTTTTTTCGCAAAACACTTCGCAATGATAAAAAAAGCGCTCAAGCGGCAACTGTGATAGAAGTACACCTTGTATTCCCGATCGGTGGCAGTTGTAGAAGAGTGTCACTTTTGCCATTCGAAGAGCGTCCCAGTGGAACTGGGAGGGGGTGAAAGGGGGGGGGGTAATAGCTGTTATTTTCGTTTATGTTCCCGTCTGCAAACAAAGAAGTATATTTCACGGGCATGTTTTGTCTCGCAAACACGCAACACCATGCGACTATCCATATCCAGACGCAATACTTGATTCTACTCCCTCTCGTTTTACGAGAGGCGCCATCGTTGGTCCAGTTCCCGCAAAGGACATGTTGGCAATAGCCATAGTGCATAACATGGGTCGAATACTGAGGGGGACATTGGAGAAGATCCAGCTTACACGACCCTCCAGCTTTACTGCCACTCATTTCGATGATGCGATACTCTTAAACAGCTGCAAACCTGCTCAACTTGCTTATAGAAGAGATTAATTCCATACGGCATGTTGTCAAGGACAAACGGCACACCCACCTCCAAGAATCTTGGTAGTTGTCATTCGCGAGATTAGAGGGTCCGCAGCTGCTTTAGCGTGTTTCTTTCTCCGGAAATCTCATGGGGACGGGGCTGGAGGGTAGTGATGCCTATGTGCCGTCTCCAGACTCCGCACAAGCTGGCGAGCGGTGAGGCACAAGCCTAACCATAGACAAGCAAGCTACTTGCGCCATCTCACGTCTGTGTAGTTGTTCTACACCCCTGACTGCGCGTTTGTCGTGGGTTATTACCTTGATGACAGCGCGTCTGGAGAGCTACAGAACCGGGTACCTGTCCCACGTCAGCATCACTTCACGAATTTGTCGTCCCAAAACGACGCCAAGGCTTTCACTGAGATGAAAACCGTGACAGCTGCTCCGTACCAACCGCATAGAAAGGTTACCAATCCGTAAGAATTCTAGGACGACCTGAGCTTAAGGTGTTAAAGAGCAGAGTAGGTTTTGTTGTATTTTACTCATCTGCCCATTGCTGTCACAAGGATGACGAAAATTGAAGTGATACACGCTACAGTAATAAAGATAATTACACCCACACCATTGCCCACAGATGAGCTATGACTTATGCTAATACTGTGATCAAAGAGAAAAATGCAATTTGAGCCAGAAAAAAGGGGATCCGTCGTGATGAGAAAATAAATGACAAAACAATAAAGGCAGCAAAATAGCAAAGTAGAATCAAAATCAACTCACAACATTGTCAAAGTCTACAGATGGAGATTTCACTTCCTGGTGAAAGTATTCGATGTCATCCTCGGTCTTTGCAGGACGAAACAAAAAGAAGAGTAGCACACCGATTAAAGTAAGAAATAACAGCAGCAACACAACCACTCCAAGCAGTATGGGTCTCCTCCTAAAAGGCGCTAAATCAATGAGAACCAACTCTAGAAAAGGGCTCCCAAGAAAAATTCAGTAACACCTTTTTAGCCACGTTACGATAACCATTCTCCTCTTTCCTCACAGAAAAATGTAATTTGACGGGACAATTAGCCATTTTCAAGCCCCTTTTCACTTTCTTAAGGTAAACGGGTGGTATGCCAAGGACATAAAAGCTGAATCACGACCCTACCTAACATAAGTAGATGCCAACTTTATTCCTTGAAGACACTCTGTACACCAACCTCCGCGCATCCTGCTCCGTATCTTGTGTGAAATGAGTGGATCCGCAGCCAACGCGCCCACTTTCCCCGCTTGAAAGTGCACGAGAACAAAACTGGAGGCTAGTGGTTCCCAAGTGCCGTCTCCACACTTCGCCAGCGCTGTCGCACGGCCAACCACACGCCTAACTATAGCCAAACGCGCTACTTGTCTGCGCACTCTCACTCTGCCTGTTCTCCATAGCTGCGTGTCCCGCTGCGGGACCTTCGCATCGACCCAAGGGCTGCACGTGAGGATAACGCGGGTCGGCAGTCGGGTTCCGTTACCCTACAGTCGCGTTCCTATAAAATCGCATATGAAAAGGACCGTTCTCAGAGTGGTAACATACCACAAAGGTAAATCTGGTCGTCTGCGCTCTACGCTTAAACCTGGACTAATGAAAGGGCAGCAGAGGCGCTGCCGCGTGGCCTAACTCAACTATGTTAGCACCGGTAACACGATTACTTCCATTGTTTTCCAATGCACTCTTTGGGCTGCATAAGATTTCACCTACAATTTGGGAGAAATCTTCCGGTGTGAAGCATTTTATTGACAGATGAAAAGGAATTTGTACTTGCCATTTTGTGCAGAAAGTTGGCTCCAAATGGCGTTGAGCAGCAATGCATGGATCCAGTTCGGATGTCTCACGTTTATGCGTTTCATAATCATTCATATTATCCCTCATGATTTCTGGATGTCGTTAGAGGGCCAAAAGCACTTGAACAATAACTCTTACGAAAGACATAAACATTTACTCGCACGGCAAATAAGCCCAAGAGGCCAGAAATGTACAAAAGACACCAAGTGAATGTGCAAGTGCCCTGGCTGCATTACAACTGGAGATCAGAAACAAAAATATTTTTAAAGGAAAAAACTACGCATGGGCAACAAAACTTATGATGGCTAAATAAAAGCAAACACAACAGATGACAGAAAATGGTGGAAGCGACAATGGGGCATTGGGATAGTCATGTAACAGTTCGAGTTTCTTGTGCAGGTCCAGCTGCGAAAGGAAAATGCGGAGGGGAATGAGGATGGCGTGTCAAAGCACAGAATGGTGCAAAAGTACGAGGTGTAGTTCATGGCGTCTCAGGCGCGGCATTGCACGTAAATTAGCAGAGTATTTCCTAAATGGACGACTTTACGCGCTGAAATATCGCTAACTGGAACGTCCATCGTACATAGCTCACTTGAAGGGATTTGAGGGTTGCTTTCTGGCGCAATCATTCGGCCACCGAGATGGCAAAACATTTCTGGCAAAGTGCCTCCTAGGAAAAACAACTTGTCCAAAAATTTGAAGACAATGATTAATGATCCCCTGATTGAGTATCACCATCATCGCCGCGTGAAGCCCACACGGTGTATCTCCCGCGCTCATCGTCAGGCGAGGCGCCGCGCGCGACGGTGCAGTGAATTACGATTCTCTTGCCCGTCTTCCGCAGCAAGCCTCTTATGGATTTCCACGTGGAAAGGGTGCCAGGCCAGACAGCAGCACGTTTCGTCGCTGATCACGCCCACCAGCGCGACAGGTTGCGGTTGTCTTGTTACACACCCCTCACCTATGGTGGTATTGTTCAGAGGACAAAGTTCGAGAGTTTGTAGACCCATAGGGATTTGTGCTAGGACCAATTATGAACGACTGAACGGCCACGCCACGATGGAGAAGAAAACTATCATGCCCTACAGCAATTT